GAGAGACTGCTGTTGTGCCATCAGCTCCGTGAGTTTCTGAGCTGACGATTGTTCCCGTGCCGTTTCCTTGTTGTTGGTACGGCGCCGGTGACGCCTCCGCTTGTTAGGTGGGAGGCGTGGTTGGTCATTACTGGGGGATAAGGCCCCTGGAGTACCCGAAGACGAGCGAGAGGACAGACCTTTACTGGCTACCTGTTCACCAATAAAAGTCTGACTTCTGTCCGCACGCAGGTCGGGCACTTCCTTGGTCTCATCCTCGATTATGACATCCTCGTCAGACTTTGCAGGTCCATCTTTGTTTGCTGTTGGTGGCTGCTTGTCGTCCGCGGGAACAGGGTGTGGAGCCCCAAGATGTGTCTGTTGTTGCCCCTCCAGAGCCTGACCTGAGTGCGGAGCGGAGCGTTCCGTATGGGACTGACGACGTTTAGTTCCACGTCGGTCGATATCATCTTCCTTGCGGCGCTCAGGATTCAAGAGTTGCTGTCTACGACTTTGGCGGGGGTAGGACATGGTTGGTGAGTTGTTTGTCAATGGAGTACTAGAAATGTGTGCGAATGAACTGATAGAGTACTGAATATAAATATCCATTTTCTACTAAATTTCATCCTTCAAACACATAACGTCTCGACATCGATCTCCGAGGAGCTCGTGGTTCCCTCGTGACTGTTTCATTTCCTTCACTAACACCAGTAGTGTGGATAGTCTATCTACTTTAACACTACCTGCTGTCCTACTCTCCATCCCACAATAACGTGTGGTTGAGTGCCTCATTAGTCGGAGCAACTTCTTGGTCTACTCCTCGCCTGCTCCTGTATCCATTTTCTACTAAATTTCATCCTTCAAACACATAACGTCTCGACATCGATCTCCGAGGAGCTCGTAGGTTCCCTCAGGTTCCCTCATGACTGTTTCATTTACTTCACAAACACCAGTAGTGTGGATAGTCTATATACTCTAACACTACCTGCTGTCTTACTCTCCATCCCACAATAACGTGTGGTTGAGTGCCTCATGAGTCGGAGCAACTTCTTGGTCTACTCCTCGCCTGCTCCTGCTCCGACCTAATGACGGACTATTCGCAGGACCCTGTTGGGAACTTCCCCTATCGCTCCTATTTACTCTTCTTACCCGTGATGTCCTTGTCATGTGCTGTAGCGGTTGTTGGAATATGCTTCTCGATCTAAGAACGATTGCTCGTTATTGCACTCCTAAACTAAGCTGCCGTCAACCACACCTTCTGTGCATACTATTGAGCCTCTCCGTTGACCTGATTTATCTGGAAATTCTAGTGATTTGAGTGTGTTCGCATATCTTTTTCACAATTTACCCATGTATTTACTTACATCGTTCGTGTTATGTACGCCCCCACCCTTATATGCTCCTAATGACTCACAGATGCTTACTTATGTCTCTGTATGCTTCCTTATATCCTCATTCGTCGATCTATTTTATCTAATTCACCATATGTGGAATTCTGGTCGTAGTTGGCTTCACCTGGATAGTTATCTCTTCTTTACTTCGTCGGTACTTATCGTAGCCAAATCTTAAGTAAACTATTCTAAATAAGCACTCCGGTCTATTCGTTTATAAGTCATAATCCCAATAAATAGCCCTTTTAGAATCCCAACTCCTACTTAGTTGCGTATGGATGCCATTAGATGCACATGTATTGCCATTCCATTTCCTATTACTTAAATCATCGGTCTGCTCACGTCCTCAGGGCACGTTATGCAGTCTTTTGACGTGTTGCCTAATATATATTCATCGTTGTGTCTTTTACCTTTCCCATTCTTAAAACTTTGTAAAATAATATAGTATGCCGCTGATTCTTTGCGTCATAGTATTAACCGAGTCGGCACTAACCATGTACATCTCCCATCTCTACTACTGTAGATCCTAAAGAACTTCCTTCTTTTCTTCTAACAACTTCTTAAATATAGTTTAAGCTCATTAACTTGCAATTCGATTTGTACTTGTCTCACACTGAAAACAACCTCCCTACCTGTACTCACACATGACTACTTATCTGGGGATTCTAGCTGATTCTCTGATTTCGTCATTTGATCGTCTTGAGACCTTCCTTGTTGACCCTGGCTAATGTTGAACTTGATTGTGATGTTCGCTCATCGGTTTCACCCGTATTAGTAGATTCTTTCTTCATACTCGTTGTCCAAACGTCATTAGTACAACGACCGGATAATCTAAATCGTTCATTTTGATGCGACATTCTTTGTTCGTATTGTCTTTCAATTGTTATACTTATAACAAAAATATGTGCCAGCTACTGACTAGTTCTTATTCTGTAGCTTTCCCTGTAATTACTAATAAACTAACAACTTCTATGGTAAGTTAAAAATGTAGTAAGTATACGCTAGATAATTGTATCTCAACGTTCTCCTTCCTCAGGGAGGGGGACATTGTTCATTTATTAATAATTATAAACAGTAATCCTAAGATGAATGACTCTTAAAATGAGTCATTAGTCATGTGCTGTGAAACCAGCAAAACCATAAAACCCAGTTTATCAGATTATTCTGATAAACTGTAAAACTTGTAATAAACCTAAAATAATCAAATAAATCTAAGTACTTGTATTCTGACCACATTCGTCTACTAGGAAGTGGTGAAATCCACCTGTGAGATCGAGCTTTGAAAAAAAACTGCGCCCCTTGTAGGTTGGGTAACACTTCCTTTATTTTTGGTAACACAAACTTGTCTTGTTCATATTGGTACTTGATCTCACGTAAGTCTAGACCTGTCCTGACGTTTTTGAGTAGACCTGTTTGGTCATGTTCACCTGTTGATAACAAAGGTAGGTTCACCGTTGTTGGCTTGTCGCGTTTGTATATGTGGCCATCGTGAAGCTATCGTTACACATTCTCATCCGTTTGTGGAATATATTTGTGCGGAACAAAGTTGACTTTAGCGTGCCTCATTTGTCTGACGTCGATTTCATTTGCAGGTACTGTGACTGTAGAGCCTGGTAGGTTGCAGTGAACGTCAGGAGGTATAATCGCGTTGGTGTCCAGGAGGTCTGTCAGTGACTCTCTGAAACCTTCTCGTTCATGCTCTGGGTCCTCTTCATGTGGTGTGAAGACCGATTCCCATTTTGGATCTGTTGGTATAAGTGGATTGATTAAACCCGTTATATATATACATATGTATGGTAGAATGTCCATACCTGGAAGTATTGGTGTTTTCTTTTCTGGCAAGTCCAGTACCTCAAAACACTCTGCCTCCATAGTTAATGTCACAAACTTCTGTTGGTCCAGTGCGTTGTATTCGTGCATCTGTTTGTGCTAGTTGTATGTAACCCGGTTGCGCTCTAACAGAAAGATATAGTTCTGATACTACACTTTTGTCCATGCATGAGCGTTGTGCGCCCGAGTCTACTAGTGCATTGTATGTATTGTCATTAATTTGTATGTCAATGTTTAAACGTTGGTCTCGTGGTGCGGGAAGTAAAGATAAAGGTTGATAGTTTATATCATTTGCATTTATTAGCAACGTTTCTTCATCTGTGAATACATTGAGTCTGTCAGCCAGGTCAATCATGTTTGCTTCCGCCCACCAGTGTTTTCAGTGCTCATCACCTTCAGTGATGTCTTCCACCTTGCCAGATGTGATGGAGGATCTTGCTATCTGCACATCTTTCTTGGCTTGTTGCAAAGCCTTCTTAGCTTGATTTGCTTTCTTCTCGGGACTTTCGCTGTACCGATGCACGCTCTTCACGTGCTCCTTTCTTTTCTGAGTCTGCCCCCCGTGTTTGTGCTGGTTGTGCGTACCATTGCCTGTCTTGTGACGTTTGTTGGCGTTCATAGAGTTATCCTCTACCTGCGTGTTCGCCTGTGTATTGTTGATTTGATTTGCATTATTTGCAGCTCGCGCCTGATCCCTCAACATTCGCTCAGCTTTTGTTACTGACGCTATTCGTATGTGTGTCTCAGTCATAGTAGGAAACTTGGCATGTTCGATGTCAGACAAGTGTCCTTGACTTCCATCAGGTTGCTTGTCTCCTTTGATTAGGATGTCCACTACTGATTGTAGTCCATCGTATTCCAGTGCTAGGTACCTTTGTACTTTGAGGTTTTGGAAGTGTATGGGTTCCTTGTCTGAATTGCGATAACGCTCCTCTAACATTGCCATTGTCTTGTGCACACGCTCGGTGCGCACTTCAACATTCATATTCTTATTCTGCATGCCATTGATAAACTTCTCCAATAGATAGTCTACTGGGTGCGATCTGAGTCGATCAATAATGGTTATATTGAACTGCTCAGGATCAGTGAAGTGCCTGGTTGTTTGTGTCTTAGAGTCTCTTATGTTATTGAGAACTGCTTTGGTTTCTCCGTTGCATCAGTGGAATCTAATAGCCTTCTCACTAGTGCTGGATACTGACACAATGGCATTGACGTAGCTAAGAATAGATCACTACATTGTGTAATGAACTCTATGATATCCTCACAATTTTCCAATTTAAAGAAACTATCCATTGGCATTTTGGGAAACTCTGAAGTTTTGAGTATTTTCTTAAGAGGTGGTTCATTTATCTGGTCGCCTAATCGAGAACGCATGAGCTCTAGCTCACTAATGTACAGACTGATTTGAATAAGTTTGTCTTCCTTATCATCACCGCAATCGTTGATCGCTTGATCATATCGTCGTCTGAGCTCCGCATCCACTAGTGGCATACGACGCTCTGGCTGTTGGTCATGTATGCCTACCCTCATCTTATGTAGAGCCGGTATGGGCACCTGTGCAGTTTGTTCCAATTTGGATACAAGCCGACTCACCAAGACATGATTGCCTTGACAGATACTCTTGTCTATTTCTAGACGCATTGCTGAGGCTGCGATGGGTACCCCTACCGGTGTGGGTTGACCCGAGCTACTGCCTGGGCTTGCCTCCCCCCTTGGGCTGGCTCCCACGTCACCCGCGCTTTCACTACCCTCCCCTCCATCGTATACGCTTGTGCTGGTTGCCGTTGGCATTTTTAGAAGTCTATGCGGATGTGTGGGTGGTAGTGGATTATTAGTGAAGACTAAGGATATCTTGCCTTCCCTAGATTTTGCTTTAAGTTTTTTGTATACTTGATCAGGATCTAATTTGCCTTAGCGTGTGTTCGTGTAATATTCGAGTCTTGTCTTTTAGAATAGCGTAGCACTAGTGGTGTCTATTTTTGAATGTTGCCCTGTGTTTGCACTTTGATGGTAGACTTGTTGTAATTACCCTAAAGGTCTCGTGCTACGTGCTCTATTGAATTCACTTTGTGTACATCTGATTCTGATGTGTGTATTTGATCGCGTCTGTCTTTCTTAAACTTAGCACGTTATGTACTATAGCTTGTACGTTGTAGACTGTAGCTTGCATTGTTCTGTGCATGTACGCTGCTAGCTGATTTGTGACTTGCAATGTGCTGGTGTGATTGTGTTGTTATGTGCATGCAATGATTTCACGGTGCCACGTGCATAAAGTTACTGTTGGTTGAATACGAGAACAGAGTGATGCGGTAGTGTCCTTTTTGTGATTGTGATTGATGTGTGTATGTGATCGCGTCTGTCTTTCTTAAACTTAGCACGTTATGTACTATAGCTTGTACGTTGTAGACTGTAGCTTGTATTGTTCTGTGCATGTACGCTGCTAGCTGATTTGTGACTTGCAATGTGCTGGTGTGATTGTGTTGTTATGTGCATGCAATGATTTCACGGTGCCACGTGCATAAAGTTACTGTTGGTTGAATACGAGAACAGAGTGATGCGGTAGTGTCCTTTTTGTGATTGTGACATCCGGATGTTTTCTTGTTCGAAAATCTAGGAAAAATCCCAACCTTGATGAACTAATCACCGTGACAGCTTTCTCCTTTTTTCACTGTTTTAGCCTCCTTACATATCACTTCGTCACTGAGACACGTTACTTATTCTTGCATAACTTTCACAACCCTCACTTGGACACTGCCTTTTTGTGCACACAATACTTTCGCTGGTGTAACGTGGTACTCACTTTGGCATACGTTACCCTTGCAAACTCAATATGGTTACCTGGTTGTTTCTTCTTCTTTGCTTATAGAACAATGGAAGTAACTTCTTTCTGAATCTGCTCGTGCCCACGCTGCTGCTAGCCTCTGGTTGTTGAGAGTCCTCTATCCTCTTTCTTTTGCGGTTCATGTTCTTTGAAGCCTCTCTGCTGGGTCTTTCTTCGTCGTTATCGGTATCCCCTGTGTGATATTTTTTAATAAAGTTGAAGCCTCGTAGTATGCTGCTTCACTCTGCTTCCTTCTTGGTTGTAGAGTGTAAATTGTTAGATTTATCTAAGTGAGGATATTGTAAAAAATGTAGAGTATAGAGAGTAGCTGAAAGATACGAGACATTGGAATACAATAGACCTCTTCTTAAGTACGGATATCTCAGCTAGGAAAAGTCTCCAGTCTGATAGAACCGAAATGAGTCTTTATTTGTGTTTTCACTAGACTCAGGGTTTACTCGAGTGTTTCTCTCACACGCGGGAGTCCCGGTATATCTTTCCGGTTATAGCGCTAATATTTCTGATGACTCTAATACCAGAAATATTCCAATACTAATTCCAAAACCCAGTATTTGATTAATCTGGGTTATGGGGTTTGTATTGGCTTTTTGATAATCTCTTTTTGATAATCTGGTTTCTAGATGCTACATGTGATGGAGTATCGAGGATATTTAAGTCTCCTCGGTTGGTTGTACTTGGTCATTGGAAGTAAGTTCTTACGGATTATTGGCTTTTTTTACGAGTCCAATTAGCTCTTTACTGGCCGAGTTAAGAATTCCGGGGCTTTAGTCCCACCAAGGTTACAGACAAAATACTCTTTGCCCTCACTGCATACTACTTTGTATGATCCGCCATATGGTGCTGTTAATTTATTCATTTCATCTTGATAATGGACCATGACAATGTTTCCTTCCTGGGAGTGTGCATACTTCTTTTATTATTTTCGGCCGTATGCTGCGCGCATCATCTCTTGATATTGCGCAGCATTAGTGTCTAGTCGTGTCCCGATTGCATCTTCTGGATTCTGCAGTGATACTGTCGTACTGGGTGCGTTCACTGATATGTTGTGGTATATGGGTTGGTTCTGTCTGCGACCAAAGTACACATGAAATCTCGGGGATTTATGTCGTCTTGAATGCGCGAAGCTTGTGACCCATAACATTTGTACAAAAGGAAGTCGCGAACACCAATCTGGGGTTTGTTTAACGGATTTTCGTAACAATAGCATGATGTCTCTATGTGATCGATCGTTTGCTCATAAGACTTTAGGTTGGTACGGGCGAGAGACGAGGTGTTGTGTCGGCGCTTGTTCAATGACTTTTGAGAGTATATCTGTTAGAGTGCTATGTGGGAGACTAAAAATAAAGTGCAAGTGTAACTAAAGAGTTGTGGTGCGTTCGAATGAATTTATTGGTAATCCCACTCTCAGTTGTTGTTAGCGTGGGATGTGGGGGACTGATAGTAAAGTGCTAGTGTATCTAAAGTATGGTGCATTCGAATGAGTTTATTTATGATCTCACCCTCAGTTATATACTGATGATGTTTGTACTAGTGTCCAACCACTTGGGTTGGCCATGGTAAAAACTCGTATGATCAGTATGAGAAACCTTATGCAGAACACTTGAGCACTCGGATATATTTTCTAGAAATAAATACATCATATTCTCTGTTACTACACTCAGTCTCGGACCTCGGCTCTCGGCTAGCCGGTGGCCCGTATCCTATAAATAGAATAATCCGAGAAGAAATCTCAAATTACTCTTACGTTCTCTCGGGCTCACCCACCTATACTTATATTAATTTGAGAACAAGTCCCAAATAACTCTCGGGCTGACGACGCAAAACGTTATTAACGTGTATAGGAATACGTCTACTACTGTAGTCACTCAGTAGTATACTGATGGCGTTTGTACTAGTGTTCAACCACTTGGGTTGGCCAGGGTAAAAATTCATGTGATCAGTATGAGAACCCTTATGCATAACACTTTAATACTCTGATATATTTCTAGAAACATATATATCGCATTCGCTGCTACTTCTCAGTCTCGGGCCTCGGCTCTCGGCTAGCCAGTGGCCCGTGTCCTATAAATAGAATACTCTGAGAACAAGTCACAAATCACTCTTACGTCCACTCGAGAACAAGTCTTAAATTACTTTCGGGCTGACGGTGTAGAACGGTATTAACGTATTTAGAAATACGACTACTCCTGTAGTCTCTCAATATCATTGACATATTTCATTTATGGGATTCATGGGAACATTATTGGTACTAGCGTTCTTGCTACAGTGGCTGCTGATTTGTCCATATTAGTCTGAGTATGACAAATGATGAGTGCATATCTAGCCAAACCAACAAGTATGTATGGCCTCTTTTTGAGTCCAATAGTGGGCCGACAGTGTCCACTTGAAATTCGTCAACTGGAAATGCGGCTGTGATTGAGTGTTTGGGAAAAATCCCTTTTTGGGAATTTCGCTTTGAGACACGGTACACATCCTTCAATGTATCTGTGTACATGTTGCTAAATTTGTGGCCGATCGTGTCTATCTGCTTGCAATTCATTTACCGGTTCCTCACGTATGTAATGTCTCAAGTTGTGGTGTTGCTCGATGATGTTGAAGTGTTAGAGTGCAATGTGGTAGACTTTAAATTAAAGTGCATGTGTATGTATTTATTTATGACCTCACCTTTGGGTTTATAATCAAGGTGTTTGTGCTAGTGTTCAGCCGCTTGGACTGGCCAGGGTGAAAACTCATATGGTCAGTATGAGAAACCTTATGCAGGAAACTATGACACTTTGAAGCTGTTCTATTTCGACTTCTCTGCAATTTAATTTCACGCTGATCACACGACATCTTTCCGCATAGGTTGTGACTCGCATAGAACAGCAGCTATTTTTAGAGTGTTCCGGTTGGCAGACTTCGTCCACTCTCGGGAGCTTGTTGAGAAACCTAATCTGCTCTCGGAAGTCAGTTAAGTATTAACTCAACTCTCAGGAGTAATTTAAGCAACTTGATTAGCTCTGAGGGTTTCCTGCTGTAAAATCTGGCCTGAGACCTGTAGTCTCTCACTCCGCCTCAATTTCACAGTCAAGGGCTGAAGTCTGAAGGCTGAAAAGTGAAGACTGAAAACTGATGAAGGCTGAAGGCTGAAGACTGAAGATCTG